GGCGCGTAATTACATCCGAACCCTTCCTATCATGAAGAAGAAGAACTTCAAAGAGATGTTCAAAGGAGCCAATCCTGACGGTATGTTTGGCAATAGCTTTGTAATTGTGTTTTGTAATCATAATAAGGATATTATTGTCGATAACAGCGATTGATTTGTTGGAGAAAATGCTGGAATTGGACGCCGACAAGAGGCCGACCGCGGAGGTGGCGTTAGCGCACCCATACTTAGCCCAATATTACGACCCCACCGACGAACCCATCGCAGGTACTCACGTCTGTCAATAGATGTGCCGTTATGTACAGTACAGTTGACGGTATATTGATATATACGGTACCGATATATGGGTACAATGTAGAGTACATGTGCCGCACATGCGAATGTGTTGCTAACAAATGAATGACTCATTGGTTTGTTTGCTTACCATTAGATCGTTATGACGAGTCCTTCGAAGAGAAAGACCTTTCGGTCAACGAATGGAAGAGTATGTGATAAATGAGCGCTAATTGACATTAATTGACACTAAATGGCTATAATATGCTAATAGGACTGGTGTACGACGAGATGACCAGTTTCACGCCCTCCCCCACCGCCTAATCATCACATCATTATTGTTAAAGTGACAAATGATTTACAATATTTGGTGCAATCTTTACAATAGATTTAGGATTTAATTGAAAAGTATTTACTGTTACAACAGTTAAACATTTATAGTTAAGTTGAATTTGGCATATATTTGGCCACAAATTTGTTATGATTATTCTTCAATGTCTTCAATGGCAGCGCTTTTGAAACACAAATCGTGTATTCATTGCATTCACATTCAGAGCAATTGTTTGATTATATGGTATACTAATACCGTCTAATAATATAAGATACAGTATCAATGTATTTAAATAAAGTATTAGTTTTATTAATTAATGCATTAAACACGCCATTTGTTGCATATTATATGCATATAACTTAAAAATAGCGTAGAACAGTGCCTACTTTGCTTAAAAAAATTTAACAAGGTGAATAGTGAATTGAACAACACTAACTTAATGCACCTTACATTTTATACAGATACTACTGAATATTCTATTACCTGTATTCTGTATATACAGGATTCTGTAGTACCGGTATATTCTGTATACCGTATTAGTCTAACGGTTAGACTCTAACCTTTTACAACAAATATAAAACACTTAAGCATAAAGATATTGAAAATGTATTTATTGTATTAAGAACCAGATTAGAAATACTGTAGTATAACTACGGATTTTTAAAATTTTAAACAGTTAAAATATAATAATAATACCCTGGTAATAATAGTGGTAATCTAGCGGAATGTCTTAGGTGTTCAAATCGGTGGTTATATCGGTCGACCCGCTATAAAAACTATACTATTAGATGTGAAATACCGTACATTCATTCATAGTATTGTAGCAAATTTTTATAGCAAGATTGATGGAGTTTTTATAGCGGGTCGACGACTATAACCACCGATTTGGACACCTAAGACATTCCGCTAGATCATCCGATATGGGTATTATTATTATACCATACCATACGAGTCGGTTTTAATTGCAATTAACGGAAACACTATCTGTTCGGGTATTGCCAATGTATTATAACTTTTATTATGATAAACTATTACTGTACGGAAATACAGTAACTAATCTTGATCAAGTTTTATAAAGTATTTGAAAATATACAATCATGGACAAGCAAAACTACAGTCGGTTTTTGGCTTATATCTCTTGAACGCGGAATTGGATTTCAGATCTGACTTCAGATTCAGAAACTAGAATAAATGAACAATTTTTTGGTATATAAGATTATAATTTCAACTTACCCGGTCACAAAGATATTTAATGTTGAATATTGACAAGAGTATTTTCGGAATCCTCATAGATAATACATGGGGGTTTGGTGCCATTTTCAGTATTTCCGGTTTACTTTGAAAATATGAAAAATAGCTGTAGCCTGGCCATTTCATATGCGATTTTTAAATTTCAAAGACCATTTTTCATAAAATAAAAATGCGTTTAATACGTGCTAATTAGTTTTTAAATTTTCTCAAATTTATAGTTTTAACTTTTTAACCGTGGGTCCTAGAACAAATCTGTAAACTGCAATTGAAAGAGCACAAAAATCTAGTCTGGGCCCATTTGAAAAATAAATTTTAAATATTGTTTTTCAAACTCTGCTTGTTTATAAATTACATTTCTTTAAGTAAATAATTTAAAAATTTTATTAATTTCTAAAATATTACCGAAAGTTAATTTGATAATTTTCTTTCAAATTAATCTAGACTAGATTTTTGTGCTCTTTCAATTGCAGTTTACAGATTTGTTTTAGGACTCACGGTTAAAAAGTTAAAACTATAAATTTGAGAAAATTTAAAAACTAATTTGCACGTATTAAACGAAGTTTTATTTTATTAAAAATGGTCTTTGAAATTTAAAAATCGCATATGAAATGGCCAGGCTACAGCTATTTTTCATATTTTCAAAGTAAACCGGAAATAATGAAAATGGCACCAAACCCCCATGTATTATCTATGAGGATTCCGAAAATACTCTTGTCAATATTCAACATTAAATATCTTTGTGACAGGGTAAGTTGAAATTATAATCTTATATACCAAAAAATTGTTCATTTATTCTAGTTCCTGAATCTGAAATCAGATCTGAAATCCAATTCCGTGTTCAAGAGATATAAGCCAAAAACCGACTGTAGTTTTGCTTGTCCATGAGTGTATACACTAAGAATATAATGTATTTATTGTCGCGAGTAATACAATAAACTATTTATGAATTAATTTTTATTATATACCAGTACTGTAAAATTCCTGAGTTATGTATGGCCTATTGCATGTGGAATCTGTACATAACTGAGAGCGTTCATAACAGAGAATGTGTTCAAAAAAATGTTAGAACATAGCCCAAATATGGCAAACTGGCACTTTGGATTTAATGATTAAAAATTAATGCATTTTAATTTATGATTCAATATCTAATCAAAATTAAATTGTGTCTTCGTATTAACCCGCAATATTAACTTTTATAACTAATTTATATAATCGATAACAAAAATTAAAGATAATTATATAAATTGTTTCCATATTTGAGGTCAAAGGATAATGATGGATAAGGATATTTGACTCTTAAATTAATTTATAAAGAAATAAAATAACTAAATATTGCTAAAGAAAAACTTGCTAAGAAAATAAAATAGTGTTGCCAAAATATCTCAGACAAATGCCAAAGCAGGCAATCAAGATTAGATGATATTTTTCAAAATATAATTGTAAATTAATATTTAAAATCAATATAGTATCTTATTTTAAATACTCTAACATAAAAATATTTTATAAAAAAATAATATTTATTAGTTTTTAAAGGTTTTTATAGAAGTTAAAGAAATTTAAAATTTTAATTTTAACATAATTTTATGTTAGATTCTCTTCTAAATCTTTGTATAAAACTTCAGATTTATTTGGAGAAATATCTTAACAAATTTGGATTGCCTGCTTATGAAATTGTCAGAGATATTTAGCTGACACTACTTTATTTTTCAAAAACTTTTACTGGTACAGTATATGCATAAATCATGTTTTTAAAATTTTAACATGCAAAAAAATTATTTGTTAAAGTATTGAAATGTTATGTTTTTAATGTGTAAACTACAGTTTATCTACTAATAACTACCACGTCATACATAACTCGGAGTAGGTTTTGGTACATAAGTCACTCATTTTGCATACATAACAGGGAAAT